TCCGTTCCGTTCGCAACCACCTCATCATATTCCCCTCCTGGTGAACGAAACAGGTCGTACTGTGTATTGGCAGTCTTGCATTCCTACAAAACATCAAATCAAATGGTGACTTCTTTGTTGGTTCCTGGTTGGATAGAAGCACGACGTGCTAGTAAAATCAATGGAAGGAAGATCCGACTCCCAGTTACCACTCTTCGAGGTCAACCACTCCTTCAGTGTACGGTTATTTCTCTCTGTCAAACCATTCGTTTCTGAATGATGATATGGTCTTGTTCTGGTCATCTTGATAGTCAGTTGTTACAAACGGGATGTATATGCGCTTGGCTTTCAAAACAAGGACACTGATCTACCTGCCAGTCAGTATCGTCTTTGGTACACCGTGGTCTGCAACGATGTGTCCAACTACTGCATCAGTCACAGTTCTCGCGCGTTCACCTCGGATCACGATGGCGTTTACCCATCGTGTAGCGTGTTCCTCCATCACCAGGAGGTACTGATTGCCACTGGATGTCTGCGGAAACGGACCCACTACGTCTACACACGAGAAGTCGCCTACTGCCGTGAATGGAATCGACTACAGAGGCGGTCGTGTGCACCGATCTTCCTTCATCAACTGGCACTGCGGACATTCAAGTACATATTTCCCCACATCTTCTATCACATCTGGCCAGTACATGCTTTGTCTCAAGAGGTCAGTTGTTCTGGCTACTTCTATATCTGCTGGCTGGTGACATTCTTGTATCACCTCATGGCGTGGAGACTGAGGTATTATCGCCAACCAGCTTCCATCGTTCTCTCGCTAAGTTACAGTTCTGTGAATGTTCACTCTTAATCGATCCCTCTGTCTCAGTAGTATAGCCGGATCCTTACTCGCCGTAGAAGTTGATTCACTTCTATTCCGTTAGTGATCTCCTGTATTACTGTATTCAGGGTAGTGTCCGACTTGTGACTGATAGCATGTCTGAATGCATCTTGTTACAATGCATCCACTCCATAAGCAATCTCCGGTAACTCAGCTTCGTCATCTCGTCTAGATAAGAAATCGGCCAAACAAGTTCCGTTGCTGGGGACGTGTGAGATGATGAAGTCATAATTTCGCAGGCTCAACATCCACCTGGACAAGTCCCCACGTGGGCCTTCCGCCATCCTCAGAAAATCTAGCGACTTGTGATCACTTTAGATGTGCAACTGTTGGCCGAGTCAATACGGTCTCCATTTCACCATGGATAAAATTTCATTTTGATAAAGTCACACAGTGTTATACAGTAATATATACTGATGACGTTTCGAGCACAATTTATTCCTCATAATCATATCAGTGCCCGAGTTTCATCCTTATAACGGTCTGCATTTGTCTACCGCCCATACATACTATTGCTAAACATTCTTTCTCTATCGTTGAATACTTCTGCTCTGTGTGTTAAAATACCACTGACATATTCGACAACTGCTTCACCCTGTCCAAGTACTACGCCTTTCCCATAGTCACTCGCATCTGTGTACACTGTGGACTGTTTTCCCGATACAGGCAGTCTTAGCGTCATTTTCCTGTCGTTTAACTGACGTTTAATACTGTCAAATGTCTTCTGCGAATCTTCCGACCACACAAACTTCAACTCATCATCTAATAGTCTGTACACCGGGTCTGCTATCTTGTTGAAGTTTGCACAAATAGACTATAAAATGCAGCTCTCCCGACGAACTGTCCTAGCATTCTCTTGGAATCCGGGCCCGTAATGGTCTTTATCGACAAGATTTTCTCCGCTAGCGGTTTTATCTCACCGTTCCCCACTCCTCTATCACCCAACACGGTAACACTCCGTTTGGCTATCTGAGATTTTGTCCTGTCGGTGAGCAGTCCAAACTCTTCAATGACTTTTAACACGGCTTCAACATGGCTCACATGATCGCTTTCGTTTTGACTGCAGATGAACAGGTCATCACCGTACACCTCCACATTCTTCAACTTTCTGATCAACAACCTAACGACTCCTCTGAAGGCAAACAGTACACCTGCTAGTCGTCCAAATAGCATGTGTTTAAACCGATATTCTTTCTGACCCATGCGATGAACGCCGTCTTATCTCTGTCGCTCTGCTTTATCCGTATCTGACAATATCGTGACCGGAGGTCAAGCACTGTAAAAATTCGCGCCTTGTATACAATACACGCTATCTACTACAGCTGGCATGCCACACACGGTCTCAGCTCTGTCATGCTGTTTAGCTGTCAGAAATCCATGCAGGATCTCTAATTCCCATCTCCTTTGTTCACTAAAACAACTGGATAGTTATACGGGCTGTCAGCTTCTTTTTCTCTAATACCATCCTGCAAAATCTCCTCAATTTAAATGTCTCTCTACCTCACACCCATAAATATCACCTCCACGATTTCACGAGTAGTTGAATCGATTGAAAACAATCAAATCAGTCAGTATTTACTCCCTAATGACACATTTAAGCTTAAGCATTTCAAACAAAGAGTACTGGGTACCAGTCACAATGACAACACCACACACAATCACTCACAGGAGATTATTGCAGGTACATCCCGTTGGCAACTCCCGTACCAAAAACATTCAAGTGCCATCCATCAAATTACACACTTTTAAGTCCGGATAATCTTCACCTCTACATACACTCACTACCCAGTAATTAACCTCATCCATCCATCCTCTCTAGGATTATAATATTATCCTACCTGCGAATGAATCTTCAGAATACATTCATTCGATAAAACAAACATATTATCTATCTTCAATCTGATTTCACCCACCCTACTCATCACCGGTTGGTTGCGTAAAACTTCGTGATATGTACAGCGGCGGAAAAAGGGAAACAAACAAGAACTTACAATTTCACCAGTGGGGGGGAGTTGCCTTCGTGCCTCTTCATGAATATCATTGCCTCTGACCTGAAAAAAGGAAAGAGACGAAGAAGATGCAAACGTCAGTACACAGGGATCATCATTACAACTTCAGGCAGCTTCGATAGTCTCCACGAGTAAGCATTTGCCAAGTGACACTGAACAACCAATCATGGTAAAGCTAGTATATATTCTATGCCAAACTTTCTCTTCACATACTTCAAAACATTATAAATCTCTAAATTCCGTACAACTGCAAAACTGTTAAACCTATTTCTATAAAATACAAAATAAATGAGCCAGAAAAGAATATCCTTTTCGATAACTTCCTCCTCTTCTCGCTCTACAGTTATATATATATGCATGTTTATTTATATACATAGAATATTCTAGATTAGTAGTCAGTAACAATATTAGTGTTTTTTAAATAATGTCGATTTGCAAAGTAAGATCACAATGGAATCACCACAGTTCATTAAAGATGCTTTAATAATAATAATAATAATAATAAAGAATAGAATATAAACTAAAATTAGGAAAATTCCACTGGCTCCACAGGCCAGTTACATAGGCTGTACAATTAGGCGTGTTTCTCGTCGAATTTACGAACATCACCCTGCATAGTGAGTGGTTAAGCAAAGGACAAACAAAATCTATTCGCAGCGCTATTCTATCTCATCTTGTGGATACAGAACACAAGACTGATTGATGTTAACCATGCTTTCAGGGTAATTTACCGCATACCTACGAACCTCAATTTCGCCTTAAGAGTTCGACTGCTAAATATTCCCGAGGCTGGCCAATGGATCCAGAATAACAAGCCTAATTTGTGCATCCAAAAGAAGTTGGTTGGTTCAGACATTATCCTTACCGCTTGGCTATCCAGGTTTGAATGATCCTGAATTTTAGTTGATATTCTATTTGCTACTACATCTTTGTTATAATAATAATAATAGTAATAATAATAATAATAATAATAATTATTATTATTATTTAAGCATCTTTAATGAACTGTGGTGATTCCATTGTGATCTTACTTTACAAATCGACATTATTTAAAAAGCACTCTTATACTGTTACTGACTACTAATTTAGAATATTCTGTGTATATAAACATGCAGATATATTTGTAGAGCCGGAAGAGGAATTTATCGAAACGAATATTCTTTGCTCGATTATTTCGTGTTTCATAGATGTCTGAATGAATATTTTTGCTATATTGAAATCTATTTCTAGTTAACCGCAGCACTATACAAAGCAGTGTTTTACCGCTATTTCCAATATGCTTGTGACCATCTCAAGTTCTCAGCGTTGTGAAAAAAGGTTCGACGGTTTCAGATAGTTTCAATGGCCTCATTATACAGGCTATTTAGGTCTTTCTAGATAGTTGAACAAACCTTTCTTAATTATAATAACCCTGAGCAGGCTCACACCTTCACACTATAAGGACGTTCTGAAGATCTTGAGCTATTCAACTACCACCACTAGTTGAAGCTCAGAAATAATATCTGCTCAAGAATAATGCATTCCGATTCACAAATGGAGGACATTATGATGCCGTCACTTACAGTGGTTATCTGAATGGATGTGTTCCAATCCTTCACAGACATACATACATGACGTCACGATCTCTAAGATTCAAACATGTTCATTCGAGTACCTAAGTATCTGCATGTCTCCACATCCCCAGTACAGTATTCTTCTTTTGGTGAGTCGTTAGAAGTACTCTGCATCAGCGTGGAGCTTCCTTTTGTGAGGATGAAACAATCGTTAGCTTCTTAACACATACAAACTCTTTTTACGAGTTGATCACGGATTGACATCAGCTAGAGAACGATTGAAAACCAGAGAGTAGTGGACAGCTGTGTCATCAAACTAGGATGAGACTTTCGAGTCTGGATAATCTTCACCTCTACATACACTCACTACCCAGTAATTAACCTCATCCATCCATCCTCTCTAGGATTATAATATTATCCTACCTGCGAATGAATCTTCAGAATACATTCATTCGATAAAACAAACATATTATCTATCTTCAATCTGATTTCACCCACCCTACTCATCACCGGTTGGTTGCGTAAAACTTCGTGATATGTACAGCGGCGGAAAAAGGGAAACAAACCAGAACTTACAATTTCATCACCTTCCAGTCTTCCTGCCAGATCATTATTGTCATTGACTCTGATACAGTCTGACTTGACGCGTTTTCTGGGATTCCCCGGTATAATCCAGTCTGCGCCGAAATCTTTCGGCTTTCGTCTCCGCTTCCTGTTCTCTTCACTATTTGACAGGCCCACCTATACGGAGAAAAAGCAATCACAATCAAAGAAAGCACAAACACATACATCACACAACTGAATTCACGTGTGAATATAATTATTTAGAGAATGATTATTTTATTATTTTTGTTAGTACTCCGTCTCTAATTACATGTCATCTTTTTAAAATAATTTTATTCTAATTGCCACTTCAGTTTTACTTAGAAGTTATCATTGTGGAAAGCGGTTTGCTTTCTTTAAGAATCTGTTATGTAATAAACCTGTGCATACGCTTATTTCCTACTTATTCGGGATTTTTCCAAAATCATGCATTACGTAATCCATGTGTTGCAAGGATTTCTACATTTAAAAAGTATGCATTAATTTACTTCGTTAATTATCACCCCATTGACACGTTGATACTGCCTAGTGATTGTTAACAAACATACCAGTGCCGCTTGATTGGTAAATTGTTGTGTATTCTAATAAAGATGCTATCTATACATATATTAGAGTACAGCCAGACATCAGTATCTAATTGAACGATAATTATTTCTTTGCTCAATGCTTCTGCTTTCCAAACATAGAATTTGGTAGAGTCCAGTCAGGCTAGTATATGTCATTGATTATCCAAATATACAAGAAGGAAGACAAGTACTATTGTGATAATCACACGGCGATTAACGTGACTAATATGGTGGCATCTAAAGTTCTAGGCTCAATAATAATGCCTCCAATACTAAGTGGTGCTCTGGAGGCACAAACACGAGAGAATCAGGGTGGGTTTAGACCAGGAAGAGGGTGTATTGATCAGATCTTCACCCTCAGACAGATTCTGGAACAGAACATAGGCATACTTACTGTCGGCGTCCAACAGTGGGCATATTTCTTGACCTGAAATAAGCATTCGAATCCGTTGACCAAGATGTACCATGCCGATGTTTGGCTGTGAAGGAAATACTGAGAAAATACGCCGCACTGATCTAGGCACTCATTCTACTCGAATTCATGCAGTCAGCCAGGTAACAGCCTATGGAGATTTGTCATCTGATAACTGTGGTGACAACCACTGATGTCACCAACCATCAGGGATGCCAACTTCTGTTTAATTCTACATCATACAGGTACTAATGGAATTAACCCTAACTGACTTCAGAGACTCAGACATTGACTTGTTATCAGAGGATAATATCACCGACTCAGAATATGCAGATGACGAAGTCCTGCTCCTAGGTGAGGGCGATGACAAAATACAACAGAGTCTTCTGAACACCTTGAGGTGCAATCTACGAATGTTTGCCATGCGATTCGCTCCCGCTGTCAAATGTAAGATGATGTTACAGGACTGGACTACACTGACTCCTACCTTAAAGATAGGGAGTGAAGTGGTTGGTGGAGTGTGTTGACCACTTCACTTATTTGGGAAGTTGCATCAGCCAACGCCAGCGGGTTGATCGCTGACGAAATCTCAGTACGGATACAAAAGGCTCGTTCGACACATGGAACTTTCCGCCGTCTCCGGAGTAGACGTGATATCCGGCTGACTGGCTGTCGACCAAAGGGCGGGCGTACTGCTCAGCAGTCCACTCCACCCTCCTTTATGACTGGCTGGCTCTGAGACATGGCCATTGAAAGTGGAAGACATGGACAGGTTGATTAGCTCTGTCTTTGATCATAGGTGTCTGAGTTCTGTCTCCCATGTTAAGTGGCATAACAACGTGAGCAATATTGAGGTTAGCCGTTGATTATTAATTAGGTGAGGAGGGGAAATCAATCGACGAGGTGGTGGCGTTACGTCAATTGATGTGGTTAGGACATGTGTTGCGCATGCATCCCCAACCATCGCCTTCCACGACCAACAATGTTAGCAGACTGACACAGGATCAGGTTGGAAAACCTCTTAGTCGTGGCATAACCAAAACGTGGCTTCATCAGTCAATGAAATCCACAACAGTTAGTTTAAGCCAGCCAGCCAGTCACGTAGGAAGGTGTAGACTTCCTGACTGGTTTTAGTTCTCGGGATGGTAAAAACCAATGGCTGGAGACAATTGGTGATATGGTCAAACATCGTTTTCAATGACGCAGATGCATTTACTCCTTGTGACTTATAATATTCAACAAAACTATAAGGTTCCTCGATATTACTATTCTTTTCTGCCTCATATCTCTGTTTACTGTCTCTGTTTTTGCACTCCTTTTTACTGTCTTCTCTTGCTTTGTGTAGTGAATGTAGTGTGGCGACTCGAACTGCTGCACATCGGTGCAAAGTTCTACGTTGAAACCAGTCAGTCTATATTTCGGCATACATACACACACACACAATCGTGCCTATCCAGGTCAAGCCGTCTTCCATTCTGGACCAAATTGAATGCTTCGGAATTAGTAATTCCCAAGAAGATATTGCACTCAAACATGTTTTTAGTGTGAAAAATAGACGCACACTCAATCGGAAACCGAATGCATTCAGTGAAGACAACCCCCCTCTTTGGAAAGCCAGAAAGACTGAATCTATCTACTGAACACACAAATTAACCACCACTTCATGTCTCTCTCCCTCTACGTAGGAATCCTAGTGGAACTTACACTTAACGCAATACACTACTGAATAATGAATTAAGTATCTTGTGAATAGGTCTCTTACTTTCCAGTCAGTACCATTAGGAAAAATTCTCACATCAATTATGTTTACCGCACTGAAACACCACCTGTGTGTGTAAATCTTTATTGTGATTATTATTATTATTATTATAAAGAAGGAAATGGCCAATCAGTGCGCTCTAAAGGATAGGCTATTCGTTCGAAAAACATGATTAAGGTATTCCCATATTTACACCATTCACATCTCCACATAATCATCATATATTATTAAAGAGTGAGCCGACGTAACCTTCTCCATCACATCACCATCATTAATACACATTCATGACATACGTTCCATCCTCGCCTAGTTTACCACCAAGACCCACTCTACAACTCGCCTCTAAGAAACACGTGTACATCAAGCTACCATATATGGGCGAGGCATCATAGCAGCTTGATAACTACACAAAGACTGAACGCTGCTGTTAAAAAGACTTTTTATCCAGCTAATATCATAATAATTGAGAATGTGAAGCCAATATATCCATTCATCTAAGCCCTTTGAACATGCGAAAAATGATATCACATCACACTGTATTTACCAATTTGAATGTACGTGTGGCCACACACACACACACACACAAACATACATAAGGAGGACTCATTGATCTCTGCAAGTAAGAACTGGCTTCAGAGCTTATTACTAAATAGCTCCAGAAACAAATGGAATCTTCCGAACCCATTAATGGTGAGAACAGGAGAACTAGCTCCTCTATTGCGAAACATATTACACAGGAGACAGGACATAAAATTGACGTTAACACATCATTTAAACCTATCTATAAACGCGTGTTTGGGTGACGGCGTATCCTAAAGTTTGTGGAAGCCCCAGCTGGTAGTTAGAAAGTTTAAACCAACTTTATGCGTTCAAAGCAGCAATTCGTCATTACATTAAACCTTCCTTGGTAAACTTTGTTTTGATACCATAGCAGATGTACTATTACCTCTGCTATTTGGTTTAGCCATTCATCTTCATTCTTATTTTGATATTCAATATGTCCTCCTTTTAACTTGACCTAAGTAGTCTATTTTCTCACCCACCTCTTAACTCTTTATTATTTCCACAAATGTCTATTCGTATGACAAGTCTGTGTGTGATCAGATTGTTCGAAATGTGTTGCGCAAATATGCACATTACACACACGATTCAGCCAAATTACGTCTTCTTACTGCTTTATCTGGACTTATTCTTCGCTTAAATCGGAGGCACAATTATGACACAACGGGTTGCTGAAAGCCTTCAGGAAGCCAGTCAACCAGTCTGTGGGCCAACAAATACCCTGATGACACTGTTCAGTTGACCAGCCCGATCTACATGAGGAGGGACTTTGAAACCTGCATCTAGTGGCTAGAAGTCGGGTGCTTAAGTAATTAAGTCACATCTTCCCGAAGGAGATAAAACCATTTCACATCAGAGTATGAAATCTGATGTGGAATAAACAATCAAGCGATAGGAGAAATACAACTTCCACAAAATATGCTCAGCAATAAGAGAAATATATTCAACTCACATTTGTCCTTAAGACCTCAGAATCACAATGCGGGGATACCAATGGATCAACATGATTGCTGGGTAGAAGCTTTTGAGATCTCAAGTTTTTCACCTCCGTCTCATTGATGGACACTTGACGTCTTCGTAAGCTAGTGAAAATGTTTAATGATAATATACACATCAGAATTATAATTCACGATTACATCATCGGCTGAAAATCATGCCAAAATTGTATAATAAAACAAAGTGAGGAAAACACGAGAGAAATACATTCATATTCTAATTTATAATGTCCTTCAGGACAGCTCTGTCTAGGGGGACGACAATTCTTCAGCAGTACACATCCATAACCCCAACGAGGACTGACTGCATGCACAACCTTCAGACTACGAGGCCAGCTCGTTGGTCAGACCATTCGGTCACTGACTAGGCAAGGAATCCAATGGTCCATGAATTCTAACTTCTTCTGTTTATTCACTATTTTTTCAACCAACTGATCGATCTCAATCCGTCATCCAAATTGACACCAATCAAATCTTCACAAATTAACACTTCACTCCACAATCCGCTCCGTCCTCATTTATGGCTGGTTGGCTGGCTCTGAGACATGGCCATTGAAAGTGGAAGACATGGACAGGTTGCCTAGCTCTGTCTTTGATCATAGGTGTCTGTGTTCTATCTCCCGTGTTAAGTGGCATAACAACGTGAGCAATATTGAGGCTAGCCGTTGATTATTAATTAGGTGAGGAGGGGAAATCAATTGGTGACGTGGTGTGAAGTTACATGAATTGATGTGGTTAGGACATGTGTTGAGCGCATGCATCCCTAGCCACAACAGTTAGTTTAAGCCAGCCAGTCGTGTAGGAAGGTACATACTTCCCGGTTTGAGTCCTCAAGATAGTAAAAACCAATGGCTGGAGACAATCGCTAGCATGGCTTAAAATCGTTCCCAATGGCGCAGATGCATTTACTCCTTGTGATTCATAATATCCTATAAAAATCTATTGTTCTTTCATATTACCATTCTTCTTCCCTCACACTTCTGTTTATTATCACTCCTTAATCTCTTGTCTTGCTTTGTATGATACATGGAGTGTGGCAACTCGAACGACTGCACATCTGTGCAAAGGAGTTCTACGTTCAAACCAGTTGGTCAGTCAGTCAGTCGACACTTCGGAGTGAAAATTAACAATTTGACAGGAGCAAGAGAATCTTCAGAGCAGCAGAATATTTTATTTACTTCACCTGTACACTCATTGGTCGAGTATGCTCAATCACATGCAATAATATCATGTCATCGTAAAATATCACGCACATGTTAATCAATCAGTAGTGCATTGATGTCTACAAAAGTCAGTCAATGAAATCTTCACAATTTGAACCCCACCTAGGAACTCAGACACAATACACAATTGCACCAAAACGAAAATGTCTATACACACACACACACACCGAACCAGTGGCAGTACTTTATCCGATCCAAGGTAGTCATTATATCACAGTGTTAACGTCAAATAATGGTAACATGAAAGATATTTATCTATCAATGGGGAAGGCAAACAAAATAATCTCGCCGATAAACTTCATTTGTAGTACGGCAGAAAATCTCATATGGACTGTCGGGATCACTCAGGTGAGCCTGGATAACACAATTACCCCAATACGCATTATCATTCTTTATTTGAGCACTAACCTAGAGTACGAAATGAAAAGGGACAAAAAAGAGAAAGATAAAAAGTTGTCATGTGAAAATAACCCCTTCGTAAGTAAACAAGTACAAGCGGCAAAAACAGATCAGACCACATATCAAACATATCAAAGTCAGTGGCAACTACTTTGAGGCTTGTAAAAACACGACTCCCTTACAATTTCTCAACAATAATCTGCAACTGTGAATTCAACAAAAAAGGCAAGGAAGCTTGAAAAATACCCGCCTACAACGTGACATGCATACAAGTAGATTTACAACTAGGTGGAATGCACAGTCAGTCAGTAAGTCAGCTGTATGGGGCCAGGTATGAATCATGAATGAATACAAATTATCCAAAGAATAAAAGGAACACTACATATTGACGATTCCATGTAGACGACGAAATGGAGGGAACACGCGCTGCGCTGGCAAACACTGTGTGCCTCAGACTTCAGTTCATTGCAACTTCATCATATTCATCCTTCCATTATGTGGTAGTGGTGCATGACGAGTATAATAATCCTCTTATGCATATAATCAAACAGTGCTTACGTGAAGACCACATGTGTGTGTTTGTGAAATGGAAACTGCAAACTCACCTACCTGACAGCAGTCAAAAGCCCTCCCGACTACTAATGCAACCTGCTGGTAATGAAGAGAGTAGTATCACTAATACCACCTGTCAAGCAGCCACTACACCGATTAACAACTGAAAAACGTGTCTGAAACGCTGATCAAACCATTATCATCGAAGTAGCCACGCTGATCTAAAGGGCTAGTCATAGTTACTCTCAACCTAAGTCCTCTATATAAAGCTGTCATCCACCCGAATTACAAAGCGGAGGCCCAGAAAGGAATTCCAACCACTCAAGAGCTATTAACCACCAAACCAAGACAACTCATCGCCTGCATCACTTGCTACATGGGAAAAGCAAATGTGGTAGAATACATAGATACTATGAAGAGTATTCTAAGCACCTAGCACAGACGTTTTAGTATATTCGGCATGTGATTCGTCTCTGAGAAATTTAAGATAACCAACGTTGCAGGACTGGTCTCCACCAATCGGGGGCTAACGATATTTTATCACACAAATACCCGTTCACACTGAGTCGTATTGGCTGGAGCAACATAACTAGCGATTATGTGAGGTTAGGCATGGAGGATTACGTAAGGGAGCGAAAACCAATTGATGACGAAGCTACATTGATCGAGATGGATAGGCGTATCATCATGCTGCCAAGTCATCGCCTTCATAGTCCGACAACATCAGTTGAAATGGGATTACGCGTTAGAAAACAGTTTGGCATGGTCAAATCAAACCGATGCATCAATCCATGAAGACGACTTCAACTATTAGCTTGAGTCAGGCAGTATGATGCAGATTGTCAGGCAGAGGTCCTGCTAACTCCCTCTGCACAAAGATCATTAAGTCGTAAATTCAGTCAGTCACCAGTGATAACGCTCTTATTGTTTATCTGCTTCAATCAAGTCATTCTTAACAACCACTATACTGCTTGCTCCTGTCAAATTTTCAAATGTAACACCACTGTAGGACGGAGAGTGCAATAAAACTCATTCATCTCAATGTATTGCCCGTTTGAAAAGAAATCTCTGTGTGTTTCTGGAACATGTTCAAAGCAGTTGGTGGCCAAAAAGTCAAATGTACTGCATGTTTTATGCTAACTTCTTCAGGCATAAAAGTGCAGATGACAAATGCGCCATCAATACTCTTTACTCTCTATTTTTACTCAAACTTTTCTCTTGTAACTTTCAACAACACGCAACTTAACAAGATATCTTTCTTCATTTGCTTCAAGTCAATTTCGATTTCTCCGTTGATTGGATATACATTTCATCCTACTTCGGACTACTCACCAGCCAGATACACCTGAAATTCCCAGTGAGTGATGATGACCCAATTAGAAGTCGAACACATTACCACTAGACTAGAAACAAATAATAACTAATTCCCCCATTGCACAAGAGGTGGCGGCTGTCCTGACTACCAAAGTGGTCTAGCGAATGACGCTTTGGTGTTTCAAACGATGGGTGCTGGCTTCAAGTCTCACCGGGAACACCACCACCACTCACTGGGGAATGTAGATACATCCAGATGAATAATTCCAAATAGGACGACCAAATGTGCATCCCAGTGGATTCCACCGAATCAATTTAACACAGGATTTTCTACACCTATAGTTTCAATGAATACAAAACCATTTCCTCTGAAGATATAAAATCAGTAAGTTTATCATGAAATCAATTAACACTGAGAAAATTTGATTCTACGATATGTAAAATGGCAAATCTTTGTCACTGAAAGTCACTGAATATATTAAGACGGGTCCGTCCATATGAGGAAATTAAGAAGCCTGTAGATACCACAATGAATAAGGTTAAGAAATCTACAGCGGAATTAATACGCAGAATGAAGCCGTCACTAGGTGAGTCTAAATGGTTTAATTTAATGCCTAAAACTAATAATGCTAGTAGAATATATGGTACTATTGAAATACACAAGCCAGGTGACCCCATACGACCAATAGTAGATTTCAGGAATACCCCTACTTATGAATTATCAAAACACTGAGCTCTGATATTATGCCCCATTAGAAATCGTTCAAACTCTAGACTAACTAACTAATTCATATGAGATGGAAAGTAAACTAAGTGATATTCAACTATAGAATGATAAGACAATGGTTAGTTTCGATATAACTAGTCTTTATACTAATATATCAATCAATATGCCCGCCTTAGAAGCAGTTAAAAAAGAACTAACTGCAGATCCTGAACTCACTCACTCATAGGACAAAGCTGCCCATTGAAGAAATTATTTTAGCAATTCAGTTATGCCTCACATCTACTATCTTTAAATTTCAAGGCAAAATATATAGACAAACAGGTGTAGGAATGGGATGCATCACCAATATCCCTTGTCATAGCAGATATATTTTTGGACAGTTGGGAAAATATGGCTCTTAATACATTCACCTAATCCTACTCCAAAAATATGGTGGAGATATATGGATGACACTTTCACACACAGTGTTAAAAACATAACATATCTCTCTCTAGCGTCTTGACACATATAAACTCACTAGTAGAGGGAATAAAATTCACATTTGAATCGCAAAATAAACAAGGAGAATTAGCTGTGATGTTAGAGTGTAAAATAAAACGAATAGAAGAGGGTAAACTACACACAAGTGTTTATAAAACACCAACGCATTCTGCTGATAAACTTTAATTCATCTCATCCGTAGTTATCTGTTAAGGCAGGCTTAGTTAAGTTAGGCGTCTAACAAACCGAGCAGTAGCACTAAGTTGTACAAGAAAAGACCTAAATGATGAAATAAAACAGACAGAAGAAGAAGAAGTAGCGTTGGTGTCAAATAACTAACTATCCTATGAAATTCATTAGGAAGATCAGAAAAAGTGAAAAGCAAAATAAAAATAGTAGGGAAACTAATAATGATAACATAAATAAGAGAGAATATAAGTCATCTACAGCAGTTATACCATATAAGGAGGGGACTTCTCAGACACTCCCTACGTAGGATTCTCAATAGAGCAGGAATTAGAGTGGTGGCATTCAAACCTACAAACTCACTCAGCTAGGACAAGCTCTGTAGGTTAAAGGACCCTGTCGGTTGACCCTATTAGACAAAATAATATAATTTACAAAATACTCTGCAATGACTGTGAGTTAGGTCAACTACATAGGTCAAACTAGTAGATCGGGGGTAATCAGATTGTCGGAACATAAGAATTTAGCTAAGGGAAGAAAGGTTGACCCCATCCGAGAAGACAAGCAATTTAGGAAAAAGCTCAGTACTACATTGCACTGCATGCATTAACACAACCATACAATGGCATGGTGGGAGAGGGTTAGAATTCTAAAAAGTAATCTAGGTAAGTGGAGAGAGAGATTGATTACTGAATCCTGCCTGGTTCATCCAGTCTACACCGAACACTTGCAATAGGGATGACTCATCACTCATACCGGAAATATGGAAAATACCACTACTACCAATCATCAAATCAAGCGATGAAAAATAATGCAATTATATAAACGAAGTTAGAAAGTTGTGTGTGAGTAGTGCCTTGATATTATTATGAGTAATAATGAAAATTGTGCTCGAAACGTGGTCATCAGTAAATATATAACACTGTACAACACTCTGAGACTTAATCAAAACAAATTTCACCCATAATGGAATTAAAATTGCAAAGTTATCGTCGCAGATAGTTATGAATACTGGCAAAAAAAGAAATACGCAAAGTCATTTGGGGTGTATCTAATATATGCAGCACACATATTAATGAAAACAACAAAATAAAGCACAAAATATTTTGACGCCTCTTACTTTAGCACCAATAGGCAGCAAATACACCGGAATAATATCGGCTTCTTTGACAATTGCTCTTTGCCCGTCGTCGAAAACAATGCGACAGCTACAGAGAATAAGTAAAACAGGATAGAAATAACATAAATTCAAGTCTTTACAGAGGGAAAGTAATCCCAGAAGGCTGTAGCATTGAGAACTCCACAATGATTGTATAACCACTACCTAGTTTGAATCCAAGAATTTTCAAAGCTCTATCCACCCACCAAGAAGTACTCACTCGTGTGAGCGCCATCATGGGATTATGAGCAGTAGACTGTGCTCGAAATGCCATCAGTAAATAAATAAGTAATAGTGTATAACACATGGGGCTTTCATCAAATTAATTTACTCTATCATGGAATTATACTCCTACCGCATTGCGAAAATTTTACTATGTTCTATCTACCTACAACCTAACCTACAATCAAAGTCTACGATAAATTGGTATTATTTTTCTTTTTAACACACCAATAGTAGGTATTAGATGGTTGGAGGCAATAATTCACAGTGCACCGTAATGGCGAGCCACGTAGCATGGTGGCCACATTGCAAACATGACTGGTAGAATTCAGTCTGCACCGAAGATAGGACTAGACGCATTACACTAGTTACTGACTAGTGTGCAATCAAAAAAACACCAATAGTATGATGTATAGTCAAGTTGTGCATGCATATATATGGCAGTCATCTATCTCTATCTCAACTTCATAGACTTTGAAAAGGCCTTCGACAGCGCAGCATCGATCGAGAGGTGATTTGGCAACTACTTCGCTACTACCACGGGGTGCCGCCGACATTTATACATCTCATCCAACAGTTGTACGACAGTGTGGTATGCCGAGTAATCCACAACGGGAAACTTACGGAATCTTTCGAAGTAAAGACAGGAGTAAGACAAGGCTGGCTGCCTACTATCGCCAATGATTTTCCTGATTGCAGTAGATTGGATAATGCGACAGACAGCGGGCCAGGCAGCGAGGAAACAGGCATAAAATGGACCCACACAAAAAACTTGCAGGATCTGGACTTCGCCGATGTGGTATATACGTCTGATTTCCCACAAAATGCTGGAAGAGATATGCAAGTGAAAAGCAACAAGTTGGCAGAAGAAGCATCAAAGATAGGACTCCAAGTAAACATAGAGAAAACAGAGGTAGGTGATGAAGATTCTTGGGCAACACCAATAGGAACAACAACAGACAACAATCAGCCAGCATAAATGGGAGGAACCTGAAAGAAACAACCTCCTTTACCTACCGACCTGAGAAGCATCCTTTCAACTACAGCTGGCTGGAACTGACGAGGATATCAAAGCAAGGATCGGGAAAGCAAGGCAAGCTTTCACTACTCTCAAGTCTGTGTGGAGGTCAACAGCACTCAGCATCAAAAATAAGATCCGGATTTTCAACTCCAATGTGAAGTCAGTGCTCCTATACGGATCAGAGACTTGCACTGCGCGTCATAAAGAGCACTTCAAACAAACTACAGACCTGTCTTCGCTCAATACTCAAGATCAGATAGCCAGAAAAGATCAGCAATAGGGACCTACGGGAGAAAACCAACCAGGAACCGATTGTCCATACTCTGAGGAAACCATCAAGTGACATCACTAGACAAAACCTCGAGTGGAACCCGAAAGGGAAGCGACGAGTTGGTCGTCAGTGCGAGGGTGACTTGGAGGAGGTCATGTGAAAGCATGTGGGCAGACTTGCAGCCAGGTGAAGACTTTAGCAGAGAACCGAACGCAATGGAGACGTTTGACTAGAGCCCTATGTTCCTCTAGGAATTAAAGGAAACAATAATAAATAATAATAATAGTTATACATATATATGTATAGGTAAATGTCATGTTTATAGATAACTTCATTATGAATAGTAAATTACGTACAAACTGTTCGTGCTTCTCTCCTACTTTCATTTACAACCAGAATTGTATTCAGTGATTTGCACCAAACAATTAAATGAAGAATATTGACAAAAGAACTGGACAAATCGACTGTAGTATATGGGAGTATCATCCTACCACTGACTAATCAACATGAGTCGTTCGGTAGCACCATTATGGATAAGATTTCATTTCGATAAACTGTCACACAGTGCGTAGTGTTATACAGTGTTTCCCACAAAAAGCGGAAAAAGAGAAAAAAGGACGACGCTCGTAGTAAACATTTACTTGTTATTTATCCTCTCTGACACTTTTTGTGTGTATGATGATACCAAACAGAATATCTGGTCAGTGTGCTTTGTGTGTGTGTGTGTGTGCATTTCCTCCCTTAAAATGGTGGTGGTTCTGTGTCTTCAAACGTTACAGGTATGAAATTCCCTTCCAAAGAAGTGTTTCTTTTGATTCTTCAAAGAGAGAAAGAGGCGAAATATAAATATGAGGATTTAAATCATTTTAAGTGTTTTTGGCTTTCATTCATCTTCACATAAAGTGTATTGCGTTGTACTGAGTCTCACTAAGTGGCGGTGTATTAATTAAGATACTCCGTTTGCGCTTGCTTATGCTTATGAGGAGTGGTCATCTGAATTGAAGAAAACCAGTTAGTTATGCAAGTTAGGGATGACCACTGTCAACGCGTTTATCTACTTTTATTATTGATGAACTAATTAAGGCATTACTTTTTCACCAGGTTTAAATCTTGCCGTATGTCGTACGGTGAAACAGAATGAGTAATGGTAGAAAGGAATATGAAAGGTTAAAGAGACTGAATACATCTGCGTAAGCCACTGACAACGATTTTGAGCCATGTCACCTATTGTCTCCAGCCATTGATTCTTAGAGTCCCGAGGGCGGGCCCCAACCCGGAAGTCTGCATCTTCCTACCTGACTCAGTTTAACTGTCAGGGATTTCATGGATTGATGCCATGTTTTTTTTTGGCCACCACTTACTCTTTTCCAACCTGCACCTATATCAGCTAGTAATGCCCGTCGGGGGAGACGATGGTTAGGCATGCGCAGCACGTGGCCTAACCATCTCAATCTATGTAACTTTATAGCTTCGTCGATTGATTTTCCCTCTTTGCCCAACACTCTACGCCTAACGTCAACATTACTTACCTTGTTATACCACCTAACGCGAGAAAGAGATCGTAAACATCTGTGGTCAAAAACAGACAATCTCTTCATGTCTTCCGCAATATAGACTAGTGGCAGCACTGTTTATGCGTCAACTTGAGTCAATTCTGGCTGGCGCAGATGTCATATATCTGCTTGTCTGTGAAAAGACGTGTATCGTTTTGAAATTCATTCTTTCCTACTTTACATTTGTAAGACAGACGCCCTCCCATTGAAGGTGAAGCATCAGCATTGGTTAATCATATAATAATTGTTCCTAACAATATTTTCGACAGCATGAAATTCTCACCAACTTTACTTACTTCCAACTTCGTATTAGTTAGTTAGAATATTTGGGTGAAAATAATAATGGTGTCAGGAGTTGGAGTTGCCAAGCTGCACTTAGCTAGTGAGTTGTGCAAAGTTTAACGAAGATTGGACAGCTGAAGTTAGGTTAGGTGACAGGTGATTGGGAGGAAACATGGCACCAACTCATGGAGTCTGACTGTTTGTTACCTTGGGTCACGTAAACAGGTATCTACCGTTTGACTGAGATGTCTCAGGAATTGATATAAGTACGAAACTTCGGCACTGTGTTGGTAGAGTATAACTCCATTATGGATAGGATTTTATTTGCATGAATCACACAGTGGTGTTATACAGTAACATTAACTGATGACCACGTTTCAAGCACAAACTATTGCCACTCATAATCATATCAAGTTCTTGATAGTTGGGTACCATTTACATCAATCGAAGTGACTGTCGTCCTGTGTTTAGATCTCACTTCGATCTGGCTAGCAAGCACTACTACTGGTTGATGCCAGTGTTGTCCAACTATTCAATCATGTCAATTAACCAGTTAGACATACATACATACTACTTGAGAATGTCAGTTAGTATCGACTTGTGCACATACTTCCGTGTAGACATTGATAATATCAAGTATAACAGCCTTAGTTAGTTTTAAACATACAGAACGGCGGAAAAACATCTGGCAAATAAACCCCGCCAGGGAAATGGACATTAAAGTCATTTCATCAATTGGCGCCATACTAAATGCTTACCATGAGGTATTTTCTCTGGAGTGTACTTTCCCAGCATAATAATATTCTCCGAATTCCCATTTTCCATAGACCCACGGTTCAGCTACAATCAAAAACAAACAACAACAACAACAAAAGAAGGAGTAAAACGGAGCAAAAACAGAATAAGCCATCAAATGCAGGATGAGATGACCGTTGTTTTTAGGAAACTCCAATCAAAGAGGATACTTAAAAAGCATAACTTTTTCAAAGATTAACCACTATCCATGGGTAATTCACAGTGACATCACATCTCCGTCCTCTTATTTTAACCAACAACTGGAACCAATCACAGTCCATACGCTAATATCACTCTCCTTGAAAGATGAATGTTCCCTCTGGTGTCGTTAGAGTGTTTACAGAAGTTCGCAACTGGATTATGAGAAATACATGTCAGTATCAGTAACCGAAGTCATTACAGTGACATATAAGTGTTATCTTTCTTTCCATAGCTGCTGCATTATTCCTCTTACACATACATACACGCACATGCACAGCGCCAAATGTAACAGTGGGACTTGAGCACTGTAGTAGAATATGACTACACATTAGGTAAGTTCATCTAATGTAAGTGGATGACATAACAAGCAAACTTTACTGCCCATATCGCACATCAAGGTGTTCGGATAAAGATAACATACGATAATACATACACACAGTGTTCGTATATATAACTCGACAGAGTCACCTCTGTTCGTTTTTACTTGTCTATTTATAAGGAAACTAACTAGTCGAAAGGAACCAGCCAACAAACGACGAACTGTAAGAAACTGTGTCACCATTTGACTGCAGCTTATTAGCCTGGACTGTTACAACCACGCATGCATTTTGCCAAATATTACAGCCCAACAGTGACTACATTCATCCAGACATCTAGCTGATGAAAATAAAGTTAAGTGGATTTTGATTACTGAAGCAGAGATCAAACACTCTATTGATTGACTAGAGCAAATTAGACTCTGAAGAACATCGTGATAATGCTATTAAGTGCGTCATGTTTCAGTGATACAAGTGGCCTGCATGCTTTAAACTACTAATGACGCATAGAGATCCCAATTTATTTGGCAGTTTTTATTTCTTATAGTATACTAGAGACCAACCAACAAAAAATGCAGTATGTTCTCTGAAACGAAACAACAACTTAAATTCGCGGAAGCCTTTCTTCATTAGTTTTCTCTCGTCTTCAGTCGTCATATGCAGGGTTCAGAAATGCCTTTAGTGCGAAATACCATCTGCCCGGGTAGAAGATAATCGCGTCTTTCCAAAGTCTGAAGATTCAAGACTATAATTCACTGACACAACGAATCAATCAGAGAATTTTTTCAGACCTGGGATATGTGGGTTAAAACATGGGGCAATTTTCCGCTCGAGGGCCAGTGAATTCTCAATGCAAACTTTAGACTCATTAATCTGAGTTTCCTCAGGTTTATATTTCGCAAAATGATAAGAGAAAGGAGCTTAAGGATCAGACTCACACGGTGGATTTGAATTAGAGCAACCTTCGCACTCACGCAATCGCGATCGAGCTCCGTCCATTTCGAATTAACCGCGCCACACACTAAAGTGTCTTACCGCTGTGCTGAATCTAATTTCCAATATCATATTTTGCGAGCTGAAGTAAACCAATTCGATTTCTTTGTGCTCGCCTCTCGGTTGTGTAGTAAAGGTACCTGTTAGTCAGTAGACGTTTGCGTAGTTCGATATGAGGGAAGAACATTCTTCCCAGTAAATTCTCCTAATGTGATTATAATTGTTAAATATAACACTTATCGTTAGAAATAGACTTTCAGTCCATGACATGAGAATATTTTGCACTATTGAGTCTTATAATCCCCCTAAGTATTCTGTCGAGGACAATGTGTTCACTGAATTCTGAAAGCTCATCGTGTGACTCCCCGAATCAAGAATATGTGGTGAATTTATAGAGAATTGTATCCAGAATAATTTATATCCCAACATTCAGTTGAAATCCTTACGTAGAAGCAGAATGCCAGAGGATGAAACGACTTGGAAAATGTTGTACTCCTAATCAACTAGAATCAATCCGCTCTAATATCACACAACTGGCAACAAACATATCACAAAGCAGTTATGCACTTCTCAACTCTTCAGAAGATATTTTACTACAATTTATGGAATACTTTGGTGACTTCGTCAAGTCGAACTCCTCAAAAATGGTAGTACAATCGATCAAAGGCTCGGAAAACCGAACTCCCTAAGGTAAATACTAAATACTGAGTGAATACTGAAGGGTAGACCCGTAACTTCTCTAGCGGAACTCTCAATAAATTACAACATGAAGCGCTATCTCTCCAACCCAATTTTTTGTTCTCATGAGGACATCAGTCAAATGGACATCGATGTACAGCTTGAGAACCTCTGCATTCAGACAGGGGACTTGGTTGCCTTCTCTGGTGAAGACCTTGAACAATTGAGATTAACTCCGGTGGGCCACTGCCATCAGTACAATCATTGCACCATAGCTCCATAGCACACCAACAACAAAGCATCGTCAGGCTGTTAGGGGACTAAGATAAGATGAAACAGTCATCACCAGACCAGATGACATATATTGCGAAGAAATCATGGACAGACATGATTGCATAAACAAAATGAATTCCTTACTGGAAGGCGGCAGGAAGTTCCAGAAACTAATGAAACACCAAACTGGCTGAGTGGAGTGAGACATAATGAACTAAACTCAAGGAATCAAGAGGAAAATTGATATATTGCAGCGAGATATGAGGGCCTGAACTGACAGAGAACATCATTTCAACCGAAACAAAATTATCTCGAAGGGCCATAAATCACTTCGCCGTCCTTCTTTGAAGCCTATCGAAAATACCAGTCTCATTTTAAGTGAGAGGGGATATCAGGCACTTCAAGTTGTAGTCGTACACACGTCCGGAAGTCTTACGAAAAGCTTGAGAATGAGCGAACCTGAATGTATGTGCATAAATATGCCCTCGCCACATCACCTGTGAAACGCAAGCATATATCCAGCTTTCCATCAGAACGAGATCTGAGTCTCCCTCTGACGCTGCACAGAATACGTTTTAGGCGATGATAAAAAGGGGACAACCAGGGTGAATATTACATTTACTGATGCTCAAATGTGGTTACATCGATGACGATCTGCAGAAATTGTGGATTGACGAACTTCATCGACCCACTGCAAAGCAACTACTACGTAGATGTACGACGAATTCCCAGTTCTTGTTTGATAGTGAAATGTACAGTCGAGGTGATGGTGTGACCATTGGATCTCCACTCTGCCTATGTTTTCTAACACATATCTAGCAAAACTGGAAAATTGTCCGCTTAAATAATATGTAGCTAATATGGAATTGTGCTGTAAGTATATGGATAACAACTTTGTAGTGTAAGATGAAGGTTTACATAGAGATTTAATTTTGAGCCACCTCAATTCTGCTCACCCGGCTGTCCGTTTCACCTAAGAAGAAGAATTCATGGACTCTCTGCAGTTTCTCGACGACTTATTAGTGAGAGGACAGGGTGTTTTCATCGGATAACCATTGTAGCGGTAAATAATTCCCCAAAATTATTGACCACAACAATCACCACTCAACATTGGATGCTGACCCTCACTGTTTAAGCCGACTTGTTTAGCTGAAGGCTTCCGATCAAGCATCCTCGCCATTTGGTACTCCGTCGTGTCACGTGCGTGCACGATTACTAGCTAGCTAAGCATTCACTTCAACCCGCGACTTGGTCCCAAATATGTTACGTACTTTGGACGACTAAATCTGATCTTTTGCTTTGTCTCTGGTACTCGAAGAGCGTACACTATAGAAGTTGTTGGTATAAGATCTGCGTTAGTATACTCCATACAGTTCGCGAACGTCGATACCTTCAGCCTCCAAACTGGTGAGCCCAACCACGAACTTTATCTTCAATAAACACGCAGATAAACCCAGTGAGTTCGTTCCTTCTTGTGTTTGTTTTTGTACTACATTGTTATCGGCATACATTTCGTCATAGGTGATCCTAGCCCCAAGGTTATTCGTATTCGCTCAACCGCCAAAAGAATTCAGCTCGTACCATATTGGCGAGATGATGCTGAAACGTGGTTTCAGATAGCTGAGTCTGATTTTTTTGAGCATGGCATAACCGATCAGCCTCCGCAGTTCCTCGCAGTTATTCACGCCCTACCGCGGGAATTCAGCAAGGGCGTAACCGTACAGATGTCGAGTCCAGAGGTAAGTAACTCGTACGAGTTGCTCAAAGCACCCCTCCTCAAGAGAAACTTTCTCACGGATCGACAGCGTCTGGATGAATTATTTCATAACATCGAGTTAGGGGATCAGTCAGCCGTGAGCATGCTGGCAAGAATGAGAGAGATTATTGGCCAGTCAGTTCGACGAAGGACTGTTCAGAGACCTCTGTGTATCCAAACTGCCACAGTCAGTTCAGACTGTACTTGTGACACTTCAGGGTGTTCTTATGGATGACTAAGCTGTCTCTGCAGATAAAATTCTGGCGATAACTAAACGGCCAGTTACCGAAATATACTCAGTTGTCAAACAGACTTCGAGTAAGGATACTGCAATGATAGAGTTATGCAACTCCATCCGGCAGATGCTTAGGACGTCTTATCTGAAAATCGTCATTTGCTGCACAGATCTTCCGTGTTGTGCTACTTCTGGACTTCAAATTGTGTTTCTTTGTCATCTTTTCGTGTCTCGCATGTTTTGTCACAACGCTGAATCATTTGGTCTCTTTGACTTCAAATCTATCTCTCCGCTATTTGACATTTTTACACGAATCAACGTCTCCCTATATACCAGCAATAAATCTTATCAGTTGCACACGCCGCATTACTGCTGCTATAATTAACTGGAATATACGTACATTTCGAATACGAATAACCTTGGGGCTAGGATCACCTATGACGAAATGTATGCCGATAACAATGTAGTACAAAAACAAACACAAGAAGGAACGAACTCACTGGGTTTATCTGCGTGTTTATTGAAGATAAAGTTCGTGGTTGGGCTCACCAGTTTGGAGGCTGAAGGTATCGACGTTCGCGAACTGTATGGAGTATACTAACGCAGATCTTATACCAACAACTTCTATAGTGTACGCTCTTCGAGTACCAGAGACAAAGCAAAAGATCAGATTTAGTCGTCCAAAGTACGTAACATATTTGGGACCAAGTCGCGGGTTGAAGTGAATGCTTAGCTAGCTAGTAATCGTGCACGCACGTGACACGACGGAGTACCAAATGGCGAGGATGCTTGATCGGAAGCCTTCAGCTAAACAAGTCGGCTTAAACAGTGAGGGTCAGCATCCAATGTTGAGTGGTGATTGTTGTGGTCAATAATTTTGGGGAATTATTTACCGCTACAATGGTTATCCGATGAAAACACCCTGTCCTCTCACTAATAAGTCGTCGAGAAACTGCAGAGAGTCCATGAATTCTTCTTCTTAGGTGAAACGGACAGCCGGGTGAGCAGAATTGAGGTGGCTCAAAATTAAATCTCTATGTAAACCTTCATCTTACACTACAAAGTTGTTATCCATATACTTACAGCACAATTCCATATTAGCTACATATTATTTAAGCGGACAATTTTCCAGTTTTGCTAGATGTGTGTTAGAAAACATAGGCAGAGTGGAGATCCAATGGTCACACCATCACCTCGACTGTACATTTCACTATCAAACAAGAACTGGGAATTCGTCGTACATCTACGTAGTAGTTGCTTTGCAGTGGGTCGATGAAGTTCGTCAATCCACAATTTCTGCAGATCGTCATCGATGTAACCACATTTGAGCATCAGTAAATGTAATATTCACCCTGGTTGTCCCCTTTTTATCATCGCCTAAAACGTATTCTGTGCAGCGTCAGAGGGAGACTCAGATCTCGTTCTGATGGAAAGCTGGATATATGCTTGCGTTTCACAGGTGATGTGGCGAGGGCATATTTATGCACATACATTCAGGTTCGCTCATTCTCAAGCTTTTCGTAAGACTTCCGGACGTGTGTACGACTACAACTTGAAGTGCCTGATATCCTCTCTCACTTAAAATGAGACTGGTATTTTCGATAGGCTTCAAAGAAGGACGGCGAAGTGATTTATGGCCCTTCGAGATAATTTTGTTTCGGTTGAAATGATGTTCTCTGTCAGTTCAGGCCCTCATATCTCGCTGCAATATATCAATTTTCCCCTTGATTCCTTGAGTTTAGTTCATTATGTCTCACTCCACTCAGCCAGTTTGGTGTTTCATTAGTTTCTGGAACTTCCTGCCGCCTTCCAGTAAGGAATTCATTTTGTTTATGCAATCATGTCTGTCCATGATTTCTTCGCAATATATGTCATCTGGTCTGGTGATGACTGTTTCATCTTATCTTAGTCCCCTAACAGCCTGACGATGCTTTGTTGTTGGTGTGCTATGGAGCTATGGTGCAATGATTGTACTGATGGCAGTGGCCCACCGGAGTTAATCTCAATTGTTCAAGGCATAATTCATTTGGCACTTCTGTCGAGTTGCAGGACAGTAGTAATACA